TGTGTGTGCGCGTGTGTGTGTGTGTGTGTGTGTGTGTGTGTGTGTGTGTGTGTGTGTGTGTGTGTGTGTGTGTGTGTGTGTGTGTGTGGAGAGGGGTTGCGTGACAGTAATGCACTGCTGTGAGCCAGAGGGATTCAACCTTTTGCAAGTGGCAAAGGCAGACATGATGAAGTCATGTTGACAGTCTGTAACCTTCGGTCAGAAATCCTTTAACATAATTTTGCTTTTGCTCATGATTCTAATCCCAGGGCCAGTTTATCAAATAGCCAACACCACATTAAGATGCGGAAAATACTTTAAAAAAAATACTAGTCCAATACTGTAAGTAAAATAATGAAACAAAATAAAATGTTTCTCTTCATCATGACACTCAAGGCGCATTGTGTGGCTCAGCCCTCAGACCACCATGTACAAATAGAGGGCCCTGGGTGTTAAGTATGGAATAAGTGTGGGCACCAAGGACAGCTCAGCATGACGATAAGAAAGAGCCAGTAAAATTTATTGCTTATTTGAATTTTTTTTGCATTTCCACATACACACGAAAATAGTGATCCTCAGGAGTCAATTTGACCCAAAGCTGTTTTAGCTGTAGAAAACGTGTCTGTGACCGAACATCCCCACACCTGCAGGTGCAGAGTTGATACGTTTGAGTTGATAGATTACAAGGGGTGGGGAAAATAACTAGTTTCCCACAAGGACATTGGTAGTTCATGCAAAATAAGGGAGGAGCAAACAAATAGAACCCTGCACAACAGCCCTCTATCTAAATCATTCCACATTGTGCTCTGTGTATACTGCACTCTACATGCTCTCTCACTTGAAAATGTCCTCTGGGAAAAGGTTTACTGTCCATGAGGTTTTGGAACAGCTCTTTGCCAGTGAAAGTGATATCGAGGAGAATGTGTCCGAAACAGAGGATTGTGTTGAGGAGGACCCTGATTCTGAGGCGTTCTCATCTCATGAATGAGAGTTTTGACCCTCCCGTTGTTTCTCAACGACCAGTAGACACGATTCCTTCCAAAAAAAAAAAAATGGAAAGATAATATGATAATGTAAGGGTTATCAATTAGACATTCATAATAAAGACCCAATGAGGAGAGGACACACTGGATTCTAGTGCCAATCACTCGAGGGGGGAACGAAGAGAAGCTTTAGGTTTCAGTTCTCTGCACGTCACCCAAGGATCTCCCCGCTCGCCCTCTCATTTATTTCTCATTGGGAATCTAATTCATGAGTATGTCCAACCTAAAGGGTGAGGGCTGTTGAAGACACACTGAACTTGTTTGACTTTGTGTGTGTATATGTGAGTGAAAATTATGTACATGTGTGCAATCATTACAAAAACACCAAATTACAGCTGGTGTTGACAGCTCCATCCACGTCTGACCTTGCTCTTGTTTTGTCTTAGAACTTATCTCTTTCCAACCACTTTCTCGGAAAGGTGGTTGCGACCCTAAACTGTCACACAGTGCACTAAGCATTCTTTATTATAAATGTGAGCATATCCTTATTAAAAGCATAATTATATCTTTATTAAAAGCATAAGCATTCTTCATTGCATGCATAATCAATTTATCATTGCAGGCATAAGCGTTCTTCATTGCAAGCATAATCAATTCATCATCAATAATATGCAAATGTACGATAACTAAAAACAATCAACCTAACAGATAACAATCCAGGACCTCACGTGACTGTTGGTTGCATTTCGTGGACGCTGTCCATTTCGACAATTGATGTCAACAGCAAGCTTGCATCAAAATATGGAAGGAGGACTTTTATGGAGCAACTGGGTAATGCACTGATGGAACCTCAGATTGCGAGAAACGGTGCCTTAACAAGAGCATCAACAGCTGCTGCAGCGATAGTAAGGCACATACAGAGGGAGACAGAGACCCGAACTTCCCCATTGGGACAAAACGTGGACAAGACACTTGGCAAGCGTCAAAACCCCGCCACACACACACACACACACACACACACGCACACACACACACATGGACCCCCCCCCAAAAAAAAAAAAAAAAAAACTAACTTAAACTCTGCCACTGCCAGTCCCAATACCCAGATCACTAATGAGGAATGATGAGTGAGACTAGATGCGAGTAGACTAGATGTGACTAGAAGTGAAATGCATATGTGACAAAAAAAAGAGATAAAAATAAGTTAATAAACATGTTCATGAATGGAGAGGGCGGGGTCTATTAGAGTCATGAATGCACACCCCTAATTGGAAAAGATCTGGATGAACGATTTTTAAGACCGTAACTCTAAAACAGAATTTTTTTCACCTGATGGTGACGCTACAGGAAAGGTGATTTAATCACCAAAAGCAGTAGGTTTCATTGTCTTGTGGCTATTAATGTTATCAGAAAATTTAAAATTTGTGTAAAAACTTTTTAAGATACATTAATTCTAATTTAAAAGTTTGACCTGATGTTGGAGGAGAGTTGAAGTTTTTATTATCAAGGGCGTAGAATGTATTCAATAAATAAACAACAAAACATGTATGTAATAATACATGCAAATAAACAACAAATAATAAATGTATTAACAACAAATGAATGTACATAATTTTGTGGAGCCAACTATCCCTGGGGTCAAATTGACCCTCAGGGTAAAATGTGTTAATAATATTTAAGGATAATAGGAGGGTGAATAATTCATGATACAGTATTCATTTATGAGAAGACACTGATCAGTTTAATGATTTCCCTCAATATCAAAAGGTAACACTGTCTTTATAAATCTTCTCCAGTGTTAACATTTTCAAAGAAAATCACAACGTCCCATCACTGGTGAGCTAGCTCTGCCGGCTAGCGATTCATGTGGTCCATGGGGTGCCAAGGGGATCATGTTGTGACCCCTGCGTTATAGAATACACAATGACTTTGTGAAAACCTAACACAGTATGGACAAAAAATGATTTTGATAGGGACCCCTGACACTTACTAGGGGGGACAGCAGACCTGTTGAGAGGACCTTAAACTGCCACACAAAAGCACTTCAAATTGTTGCAAACCTGTAGTTGTTTTATGACACGACGGAGATGTGTGTTTTCATCAAGTCAAGTGATGAAATGGTGACAAATACACTGTACTGTACCACCAAAAGTATTTGCTCATCCATCCAAATGACCAGAATCGGTTGTCCTAATTACTTGGCCTGGCCACAGGTGTATAAAATCAATCACCTCGGCATGCAGACAAACATTTGTGAAAGAATGGGTCACTCTCAGGATCTTAGTGAATTCCAGCGTGGAACTGTTATAGGATGCCACTTGTGTAACCGATCCAGTCATGAAATTTCCTCTCTCCTAAATATTCCACAGTCAACTGTTGGTTTTATTATTTAAAAAAAATGGAAGAGTTTGGGAACAACAGCAACTCCGCCATGAAGTCATAGGCCATGTCAGGCTGCTGAATAAACATACGTGAAAACCTGTAACCATTGTAAAAAGCTCAGCCACCTTATGCTGCATATATGCAGTTGCATATACTGTATGCTTACTGTATATCTATATATTATATTTATATTGCATTCTATACTGTGTACAGTTCTTTTTCTGAAACATTTACTTGTGCATGCAACACTTTTTTTTTACTAACCCCCCCCACACACACACACACAATTCTGATGCTGTAGACTGCAAATTTCCCCAGCGTGGGACAAATAAAGGTTATCTTATCTTATGTAAACTGACAGAGGAGGGACAGCGAATGCTGAGACGCAAAGTGCAAAGAGGTCGCCGACTTTCTGCACAGTCAATTGCTACGGAGCTCCAAACTTTATGTGGCCTTCAAATTAGCCCAAGTACAGTATGCAGAGAGCTTCATGGAAAGGGTTTCCATGGCAGAGCAGCTGCATCCAAGCCATACATCACCAAGTGCAATGCAAATGCAGTCGTGTCAAGCACGCCACCACTGGACTATAGAGCAGTGGAGACGTGTTCTAATGAATCACCATCATTATCTGATGGACAAATCTGAGTTTGGAAGTTTGCCAGGAGAACGATACATTTCGTCCCCTCCCGCTTCCCACATCACTGTGCACGAGTGCCCAAAGCAAGATCCATAAAAAAATGGATGACAGAATCTGGTGTGTATGAACTTGACTGGCCTGCAGAGTCCTGACTTGAACCCGAAAGAACACTTGGGGGTTGAATTAGAGTGAAGCCTGAGAGCCAGGCCTTCTCGATCAACATCAGTGTGTGACCTCACCAATGCGCTTTTGGAAGAATGGTCAAAAATTCCCATGAACATGCTCCTCAACCTTGTGGACAGCCTTCCCAGATGAATTGAAGCTGTAATAGCTGCAAAAGGTGGGCCGATATCATATTGAACCCTATGGCTTAGGAATGGCATGGCACTTAAGTTTATATGTGAGTTAAGGCAGGTGAGCAAATACTTTTGGTAATGTAGTGTAAACACCCCGAAGACAACTTACACGCCTTTTGCTATTTTATCTTCCTTCAACATGTGGGGGCGCGGCCATGGCGTGGCTTCGGCTCTGTCGTCATCTCACCAGGAAGAGAAACAGCAGCGGTGTGAGTGCTCCGCGAAAGCATACGACGACTACTACTACTGCTTGATTATTATTGTTCATATTTATACGTTGTACGAAAATCTTCTGTGATCGACCCAACAATTTGTTATGTTCCACAAAGGTACTTTTTTGAAGTTAACTTTCTCGACTTCGACCAAGGACACCCGACAAGACGCCATGACATTAACTAATTTTAAACCACTTTTCGCTTGAAGAGTTGTGTTGTAATGTTGCGCATTGAACTGCAGCGCTGGGCAATTCAACATAGCTTAGCGGCAACCAAAATAACGCTGAACTTTGGCCTTCCTAATTGTCATGTAGCTCCCACAGTTAGTACCCGTATAATAATGTCGGTTGTACTGAACGATGTCGCACGAAATTCATTCAGAATAATTTCTGCGGTTGGCCCGAGTAGAGTGTTAAGTGGGCCACTTAACGCAAACGAAGAATGTACATGGGACTCATCTAATTATACAACACAACACAATACATCTTTATTTATATAGCGCTTTCATCACAGCTTTACAGAACATTTAACATAGAATGACAACACTCCAACAGACAATATGACATAAAACATCGACAATTATCAGTTCTTATCTTCGTGTTTGAATTGTTAGTTTATCTCCAGTGTGTCGGTGAGCTGGCATAATTTATTTAAATACGATCCTAGAGAGGAACCACATGTCGTTTGAGATGCAGAGATAATACAGTACAACAGTTTGAGATAGTACAGCAGTTTGATGGATGTAACCCCAATTCAATGTGGAGAATCATTTGTCACACCACGGGTTCATTTTTTAACAGAGAAAAAGATGCATCTCCTCTCTTGTTTGTCAGTTCATCATGCCTGAGGAGATGCAACAAGCTTTAATCGAGAGAGGAGACGATAAGGGCAGGTGCAGGCCGCTTGAGGTTTGCATGTCTGAGTTCGACACCCAAGTTGTCGGCATCCTGGGCACTGGCGACTTCTCCCGCTCACTTGCCAGAAGACTGGTCGCCTCCGGCTACCGGGTGGTGGTCGGGAGTCGAACCCCCAAACACGCTGTTGCGCTCTTCCCTGAAGAGGCAGAGGTGAGACACAATTTGTTGTTGATTCTAAATCCATAAAATTACTTCCATACTGTATTAGACCTCGGAGTAAAAATCTTTTTCTACCTTGTTTGTCGTGAATATTTTTATTCTCTGTGTTGACATGTTTGCCCCGCTTCTAGTCAGCTATAATTTTCATGGTATTTAGAGGCATTTACCCACTGGACTGGTGGTCAGGCAAACAAACAGGCAAACAACCTTACACACTCACGCTTAACACTTCTCGATTGTTAGACTTCAGTGAACCTAACATGCATGTTTTTGGAATGTGAGAGACAGCCAGAATATCTAGAGAAAGCCAAAGCATGGGAAAAACATGGAAAATACACACAGCAAGGCTGGAGCCAAGATTCAAACTCCGATGTTTTTTTTTTTTTTTTTTTTTTTTTAATGGTTATTTAAGTCACAGGATTTTACAAAAGCCTACTGTTCTACAGGCTGGGAGAATGGTCCAAGAAAGAACCAATTCAATTTTGGTTTGGATATGTATTTGAGTTGCTATCGCATGAATGGAACAGTGTATCCCAGATTCAAAGGTCCACCCTCTGTCCATTTGTTATGTCTTGTGTTATCCTTCTAGACTTTACACTGATCGAAATCGGTCGATATTTTGCATTTCATGCAAAATCGGTGATAGACTATAATGTCACCATTTGCGCGATTTATCAATGACGCCATGTGTCGCATATGCGAAATAAGACATTACAACAAACACAACCTTGTTCACTCCGGAGTTGTTTTGTGCCGCCTTAGTGTATATGTGAGTCCGAAAGGTAATCTATTTTTAGTGTTGTCTCGTGTCTTGGGAGTGGAAAGACTTTGCCCTGGGATGCAAAAGTTCCCTTGACCATCCACTCACAAAGTAGTAGCGTCCGAGGTTCATATAGTTTTTCTTTTTGATTGGGAAATGTCACAAAACCATTTTATTTATGTCCAAAAAAGAACGAGATACAGTATTTATGTTTTATTCAAAATAGTTTTCATCATCCAACATAAACTTCCGGCTATTCATATTCAGCTAATAACAGATGCAACCAGCAGGCAGGCGTGTTATTTGAACAAACACGGGAAAAAAACAAAACATTTAATCATGAAGGCTCATTGTGTATTTGTAGCCAACTTGGTCATTTTGATAGGAGGCTAATACATCTATCTAATATAGATACATACATCATGTGTCTCCATCATTATAAGGCTTATATAAGGCTTTTATTTTTTTGCGACTCCAGACATATTTGTTGTTGTTTTACTTTATTTTATTCATTTATTTTTGTTTGTTTTTAGTCCAATATGGTTCTTTCAACATTTTGGGTTGCGGACCCCTGTTCTCGCTAAAAAAAAAACGGATGGATGGACGAACGAACAAGTGCTTTTGATTGTCATTTGGCCTTGTCAGAGTTCTGCCCCACACTGGGGAACAGACTCATATCATTTCTTTCCCCGTCACCCAGGTCACCTCCCAGCTGGAGGCAGCCAGCCAAGCAGATGTGGTCTTTGTCGCCATCTTCCCTGAGCACCACGCCACCCTGTTGGAGCTGAAGACGGCGCTGGCTGGAAAGATCCTGGTGGATGTTAGCAACAGCTCGCAGATCAAGCGAGCCGGACCATCCCATGCCGAACGACTGGCTGACATGTTTCCTGAGAGCTTTATAGTGAAAGGTTTGAACACAATCTCAGCATGGGTGCTTCAGACCGGATCTCGAGATGGAAGCAGGCAGGTAGGATTATGGGCGATCTTGCTCTACCTCTGATGCCTGAGATATGAAAGAATCCAGCGAGAGACTTTGGTCATCTTTCTTGTGTAGGTGTTCCTGTGCAGTGACAGCAGTAAGGCCAAGAGCACAGTCCTGGCAATGTGTCGCAGGATGGGCTTCTGTCCTGTGGATATGGGTCTGCTCTCCTCTTCTCGGGAGATTGAAAATCTCCCCTTTTATCTGTTTCCTTCCTGGGGCACGCCCATCCTCATCACATTGATTCTCTTCATCTTCTTCTACCTCTACAACTTTGTCCGTGATGTCGTGCATCCACTCGTCAAAGCGAAGAAGAGCGTCTTCTACAAAATGCCCATTGAAACTGTGAATGTCACTTTACCTTCCGTCGCCTTGGTGATGCTTGCCCTCGTCTACATGCCGGGCTTGCTTGCCGCGTTGGTCCAGTTAAGGCGGGGCACCAAATACGATCGCTTTCCTAACTGGCTCGACAAGTGGCTCACCAAGAGGAAGCAGTTTGGATTGTGCAGCTTCCTGTGTGCTGCCATGCACGCCATCTACAGTCTATGTCTGCCCATGAGGCAGTCAGCTCGCTTCAGGTTGCTCAACGATGCTTTCAAACAGGTGAATGGGAACCCAGTGATCTGACCACACCTGCTGCTTTAGGGTGTTCTGTCAATCATGTGTGGAACCGTGTGGCGCGCAGGTGAAAGAGGGTGTGGAGGACGCGTGGAGTGACGAGGGGGTGTGGAGAATGGAGCTGTACGTCTCAGTGGGCATCATCGCGCTCGGGCTGCTCTCCTTGCTGGCCATCACCTCGCTGCCCTCCGTGGCTGACAACATCAACTGGCGAGAGTTCAGCTTTATACAGGTAAGCCACAGGAGGTTAAGGTCAGTTTTTGACAACCCGGTGATGAATGATAAATTGGTATCTGGCTTTCTTTTCAACAATCAGGTGTGTGGGCAGGATGTGATAGTTTGTTGGTGTCGGCCCCAAAAATATGTACTGTCGACAGATTTTGATTTGTCACTCAAAACTATGCGACAAAGGCACGTGAGCTTGTAAATTTACAGTATCGGGACGAAGTGGCAGTACATACAAATAAAAGAGGAAGGAAGCGGTCAGGGCAGCTGTGAAAAGTTAAAATTGTGAACTTGGTTAAACTATGTAGCCAACCTGCTCACCTTGGAAATATATTCAGTGTCAATAACATTGGCGTATTTATGCAATCGGCTCAGTTACGATAAAGAAGAACTGAGACATAAATGACCGATTCGTCATTTGATTGTAATTTTTGAATTGGTGAATTTTTGTTTTGACATTTAAATTGTCACATAAACATGACGGTTATCTGCCAAGACTGGGTGTCTAACTCCACCCCACCACGACTACATAAACCAAAAGGAACCACAACAGGAATGTCAAAATTAGCATTGGGATCAATTATTTTAGTACAGATGACACATTTAGACAATAGAAATGAAAATAAATGCTCTTGAGGGGGTTCCTGTGAAGACAAATCAGACATCCAAACAATTTGTGTGTTTGCACTTTTGCAGGTGACTCAGTTCGGGTGCTAACACTCAAAGCCGCCAGCATTGTTGGGGCTCACACATTCTTCTCTCCTCCTCCTTGTCCCCTGGCCCCCCTTTCATCTCACCACAAAACTAATCCTCTGGCCGTCAGATTAGTCATGTCCCACCTGGAGGCCAGCAATGAATTATTGCCATCCTTTCAGCATTAGCCAGCGATGAATGTTCCTGTGCAGCGCAGCGCTTCAGGACAGATACTTGATCTTGAATGAGTTGAGTCAACTACTCGCTCAAACATGTAACTGAAAAGTTTTGAAAGAAGTGAAGCACCCACATTCAAACTATTTAAGGTGAATAATGCAAATATCAATGATTTCAAAGCAGAGGTCACCAACATGGTGCCGGCGGGCCACATGAGTAGCCCTGGCCAGGCCGAAACAGCTCAACTGTGAGATGCCTTTTTTTTTTTTTTTTTGTATTGATATTCTTATTTAAATCACACTTGCATTGATGTAAATGTGGAGATGACACCAAAAAAATAAATAAATTTGGTCAGTGTTTGAAGTGCATGACCAAACCTTAGCATGTGGAAAAAAGCTAGCGGGCATCAAAATGATGAGAAGGTTTACCACTAAGTTAAAGCAAATGTATTCTTTCAGAAGTGTGTGTGGAATCAATACCAAAGAACTAGCTCTCATTCTCAAAATGGTTGTTGACCGTTTTTTTTTTTTAAAGTTCAGTTTCAGTGACTCTTTAAGCATCATTTGTAAAAACCTTAATTAGCTTTGGCTATTGACACATTTGCTCGAGTTTGATTGAGCTGCCTCGATCTGCCATTAACAAAACGAAAAGCTCATGTTGTAGCGTAGTCACTGTATTTTCAGTGCCCAAATGGGGATAAGTGGTTTGAATTGAGGCTTTGTAAAGCAGAAGTTCACATCCAGTGGAAAGAGACACTCATCTCTGGCCTGTGTGAGAATAGGGAAGAGCTAGACTACTTTGGATCTTTGACCAATACCTGAGTCAACTTGGGAATTTTTTTTTGTAATTGCGCCCGCTGGTAATCTGGATAGCACTGGTGCCACTTGCTCCGGTCATGAATCGAAGGTTAGTGTGTTTGCTTGTGGCTGTTTAGTGGCCTATGACCCAGTGAACAGCAGACACTATAAATTGGCACAGGTATAAAACTCTTCTTCAAGTTGTAAATAAAATGTTTCGGTTGTAAATAAATGAAACATGAATAAACGAAATCTCTTTCACACCCTGCAGTCCACTTTGGGCTACTGCACCCTGTCCATGGCCACGGTGCATACACTCCTCTTCGGCTGGGACCGCGCCTTTGACCCGAGCCAATACCGCTTCCTCTTGCCACCCACTTTCATGGTGGTCCTCATCCTCCCTGTCTCAGTTCTGTTGGTCCGCCTCATTCTCCTGCTGCCCTGTATTGCGCAACAGCTCCGACAGATCCGCCGCGGATGGGAGAGGAGCCGGCACATCCGCTTCATCCTGCCCAACGACGACCGTGTCACCGGCTTCGATAATGTCAGCCATGTTTGAAAAATAGTTAAACACTTAAAGTAATTGGTTGCACACGTGTAATGTTGTAGAAATGTTTGTTGTTTCAACAATTGGAGAAAACAGAAATCATTTAATAATGATCATCATGAGACATGAAGGCAGTCCGTTGACCCTCAACATTGATGCCCTGTGCAATTTGTAGGAGTAGCAAGCTTCTCTGCTGGATTTTGATTTCCAATTTCTTTCTTTCTGTTGATTTACTGACTGTGATTCTGGAGGCTCGCTTCAGATTCATCTGTGCCAAAACCTGTTTGTCGATACACTGCTACATTTTCTTTTTGTGATTTTTGGTTAATATATTTTCTAATCACTTTGTCTGAAGTCCATGTGTTTTAACATCATTTAGGATGAAAGCCACTTTTTATTCAAAACAATTTGAGAGGTTGCAGCTGGTAGATATTGGGTCACGGAAAAAGCCTGGTTGGCCTGGTTTTGTCCACTTGTGCGATGCTGTCATCTAGTGGCACAATGAGATCTCTATTTGGAATTTTCAGTGCCAGTGAATTTTTGTTCGGCCTGTGATTGAGTTCTCCCTGGACTCAGATTGTTCCATTCAATGTGGCCTGCTAGGCGAGATTCAATATGGCCCCTCCCCCTCATCGGCGATGAACATTTACCAATACCTTTTTCTTTTTTTAATTAACCATTGTCTTTAATTTACTAGATGTCGCTCAATTTAACACTGACGTTGAATTTTGGGGCAATTTAAAGTTAACACCTAAGGTTTAATAATCCTTTACATAAGGAATAGCATTTAAATCGAATATTAAAAATGGGGAAAAACATTCAATATTCAGATGTAAATGCAACTCAACTCAACTGTATTTATAGAGCACTTTCAAACAGCCATCGCTGCATACAAAGTGCTGTACATGGAGCAAATTAACATATACAACAAACAGTAAAGCAAATCGGTAATAAAAACAGTAGAAAGCACCGAACAGCAAAACCAAGAACAATCTTAAGTTCTAAGCAACACCAAAAATAAAAGCATCATTAGATACAACTATCCACTACATTGTATTTAGTAATATTAATTTGCATTTGAATCTGTGATGACTATTTTTAAGCTACAGTACCTTAAGGTACATATACAGGTAACTGTTTTGAGTTTGTGGCGGCCCCTTGAGGTCGAGGTACGATTGCCGACAGGGGCAAACGCTGCAAACACAGGGTTACTTGGGGGAAGAAAGAGACACACACTTGCAAACTGAAACACACGGCAAATCAAAAACGCTGCAAGAAATGTTGCAAACGCAGGAATGATGCAAACAAAATACAAACACATAAATGCAAAAAATAAACACAAGAAATGCTGCCATAAAAGCAAGCATTTAAAACAACAACAACGAAAACCGCTGCGAAACACCAAAACACAAACTCAAAAACAGTGGCAAGAAAAAAATGATGCAAGTTCACGCCAATAAACGGAAGTTTGCCAGGCCACTAAGGGGCATCGCAGGACCAGCCCTGTGAGACCAGACCCTCCCCATTTTCTGGTCTCACGTGAACTTCTATTCCCCACCGTCCTTTGTCTATTGTGCAATTTTTCTCCCTGTATGTCTTGCGTTGATGTGATATCTTACAAGCTTTAATAAACAAACACGGTTCGAGCCATGTAACTATGCTTCTCTTTTATAATATTGTAAAAGATAATGTCTCAACTCTATTTCTAGAGCACTTAAAACAAAACAAAACACCGCTGTATACAAAGTACCGTACATGGAGCAAAAATAATTCAAACAACAACAAACAATAAATGAATACCAAAGACAGCGGAAAGCACATAAACAGTCAAACTAAAAAATCAGGTCTCGTGGTGACTCAATCGCCAAAGAATAAAAATTAGTTTTAAGACGAATTTTAAAGATGGGCAGCGAGGGGGCTTGCCGATCATTGAGCGGGAGGTTATTCCAAAGCAAGGGATCAGCAACGGAAAAAAGGCTCAATCACCCCTGAGCGTAGTTATTACGTGATTGGACCGACAACTCAGAATGTGCCAATCTGTTGCGGACGTCACTGGACTCATTGCGGTACCTACTAATCAGACAATCCTATAACATGTTCATTTTGTTTTCTGTTTATTGAGTATTGTACTTTGACTTGTTCGAATAAAGATTCATTATAAAAAAATAAAAACATTAAAAAAAAAAAATCAGACAATCCTGCCCAGGTCCTTCCAGAGAATCTGGACTCACAGAACTGGTCTTGCGGACCTGCGCCTCGTAAACTTTAATTTCGTGCATCATCTTTTTCTTGCCATCATTTTTGAGTTGGTGTGTTTTGGAATTGCGCAGAGTTTTGTGGTTTGTAATGTTTGCTTCCACTTTGCTGCTGATTGCAACATTTATTATTATTATTATTATTATTATTATTTTGGCATGTATGTGTTTGTTTTATGTTTGCAGCAGTCCTGTTTTTTTCAGCCTTTTGGCCACTTGCAATATTTCTTACTTGCAGAGTTTTTGCTTTGCAGTTGTTTTGTGTGGTTTTTAGTTTGCAAGTCTCTGTCTTTTTTCCAAACGTTTTTTCTGTTGTTGTTTACAGTATTATTGCGTTTGCAGATTTCTGTCATTTGTAGCGCGTTTGCCGCTGTCACCCACTGTACCGAGGCACCTTTAGCATTTTTTAATAAGGATGAATCGGCTCAAATGGACTCTAGAACGTACTTCACCACTAGGCTTTGGCCTCCCAGCTAAGGTGTACAATCCATAGAAAAGGAATGAATGGATTGGTGTAATAATCATGTACAATTGATGAACCCCCACATACTATTCTGAATTAAATTTGACCATTTTTTATCTTTGACAGCAACAAAAAATTATAAAAAACAAAGTATAATTAATCCACCGTGATATTTGATAACTTTTAGTAAGCAAAGCAAAATCCATTTCTCAACAACACCCAGAAACACCGCCTTCTTCTCTGGGCTTGAGCTCATATAAGATGGACTGATGCAAAGTGGAAAAGTGTTCTGTGGTCTGACGAGTCCACATTTCAGAATGTTTTGGAAAATTGTGGACGTCTTGTCCTCTGGGGCCAAAAACAAAAAGAACCATCTGGACTGTTACGGACACAAAGTTCCAAATCCAGCATCTGCGATGGTATGGAGCTGTGTTAGTGCCAATGACTGAAATGTCCGTACAGGTTTTGGAGAAATATATGTTGCCATTTAAGCAACACCTTTTTCATTGACACCCCTGCTTAGTTCAGTAAGACAATGTCAAACCACATTCTGCACATGGTACACCAGCATTGTTTCGGCGTAAAAGAATGTGGGTACTAGACTGGCCTGCCTGGAATCCAGACTCATCGACCACTGAAAATATGTGCCTCATTGTGAAGCGTAAAGTACGACAAGGAAGACCCTGGACTGTTGAACAGCTGAAGTTGTACGTCAAGTAAGAATGTAAGAATTCCACCTACAAAGCTATAACAATTCGTGTCCTCAGTTCCCAAACGTTTATTGAATGCTGTTTAAATAAACGATGATGTAACGCAGTGGTAAACATGACCCTGTCCAAGCTTCTTTGGAACATGTTGCAGCCATTAAATTTAAAGACAATGTCAAACCACATTCTGCACATGGTACACCACCATGGTGGATCGTGTTGCAGCCATTAAATTCCAAGTTAATGATTAAGTCTATCAGTTTGAATATGAAATATCTTGTCTTCGTAGTGTGTTCAAAAATATACAATACGATGCATCTTTATAAATGTAGGTTGAACATGATTTGCAAATTTAATTGCAATTGGGTCGCTACATGCCATGAATTTACAAAATGCATTGTTTGTTTTATGCGACATAAATCATCAAAAGGGAGATTGAAACAGTCCAAAGAACCGTCTGTACTGTAGATACACAACCATTTGCACACTCACTGTTGGTCTTTGGAATGAAAGTGTACAAAAGCATCAGAATAAAATGTACAAGGAACAGTAGCAGTCCGATGCAAAAATGGAGTATCAGCAATAAAGAGTTATAGAAAAAAGGGGAGGGGCTTATACTCTTGAAGCTTCAATGACTGAGGTTATTGTGGTAGACATTGTGAAGAATAGAATCTAAAAATGAGTCATGCATAGCATAAAACACACACCTTTTTCTCCGAAACATTGACAAAGAAAGAAATATCCCTGAATCGATGTAGGACTTAATACATTTGGAAAAGAACTGTATTGCGTAATTATTAGTAGGCTATTTTTGACCTGGGTCAAAAAACATACGGTGTGCATGGGAAATGAACAGTATATGTAAGGGTTAAATTGAACAAGAGTTGATCAGGGGAATCGTGTTCCTGCTTGCTGATGAGGCGTACAAAGGTGCCTCCCACATTTACTCGACAGCAGCAACCGCTGACAAGGCTGCCACCTGGAATACAAGTTCACCACTTTGAAAGCGTCTCCTGCTCACTGTGGCCATGACTGTAAGTTTTAGCTAACAGACTTTGAAAGGTGCTTCTGTCAGTCACAGCATTGTGCAAGATTGTGCTCCTCTCCTTCAGCCTGTTTGTCCAGTGCCACCTCCCTCTTTCTTTACACTACAGGAAAGCTTTGAGAAAGCAGCGAGCGAGGCGAAGAAACTGAAAACACAGCCTAACCGTGAAGAAGTGAATGAGCTGTATGGCTTATACAAGCAGGCCACGAATGGGGACCTTGAGTCTGGTGAGTAAATGTGAGCTTAAAAAAAATTAAAATGAGTATCTGGGGATATCTGGCGTTTTTGCACATAAACTCCTAAAAGGGTGTGCTCCGAGGACAGAATGAAGCTAGACAGGTTGGGTGTCACTGTGAAAATGATGAAAAGACTGATAGGTTTGTATCAAGCTGGTTTATTTTGCCCTGCAAGACATTCTTCAAATATGTGAAAATCCTCCACCTGGGTCTTGATCAAGGATTCCGTGTGACAGTGAGTTTCGACTGGATTTGTTCACGAGAGAAAATCATCCGCCATCTTTGCATCCACAGAGCGTCCAGGGATATTAGACATCTTGGGAAGACGAAAATGGGATTCGTGGATGGGAAAGAAAGGTAAATCTTAAATACTAGAGTGAGTGGTGTTTGACGGTCAAGCAGAGTGCACAGTGACTGTTGGTTGTGACTCCACAGGTCTGTCCAAAGAAGAGGCAATGGCTGCCTACGTTGAATTGGTGGAGAAGCTGAAAAGAAAATACGGAATCTAAAATCTTGTTCTCACAAATAAGTATCATTTTCTTTGTAATGTTGGAGCCCATTTGAAAAATAATGCAATGCCAAATTTTTTATTGATTGATTCTATTGATTTGTATTCTGAAATCGAAGCTCGAGTCAATCGTATGGTAGCCCTCAAATTTCAATCGTATCATATTAAAAATAGATCCACATTTGTACAGACAATTGTCATCCAAAGACTATTTTGTGGGCCTCTTTTACTTGTACTCAGATCCGTTTTTTTCAGTGTGTACCTGAAGCATAATGCAAAACAGTGTCCACACGCCACCTTCTTGTTTGCCGTCTGGATAGATGTTGGATGTTGACATCTAAATGACTTCGATGCATCCATTTTGCGATCCGCTTAGCCTCACAAGGGTCGCGGAGTGTGCTGGAGCCTATCCCAGCTGTCTTCGGGTAGTAGGCGGGGGACACCCTAAACTGGTTGCCAGACATTTGCAGCGTACACAAAGACAAACAGCCATCCACACTCACACCATCAACCTGCCACGCATGTTTTTGGGACGTAACACTAGCTAAAACCTGCTCTCTGTGCACATACACAGTAAGGGTAGAACAGTTCACAAAATCCACGAAATGGTTTGGTTCTCGGTTTGTGCTCACGGCTTTCGGGTCTTAGAAGAATCAATTGCCTTGTAGTTTCACATGAAAATGTGTACTCACAGCATTATTTTTAATTACTGGGATTATTATTATCGTTATTGTAGGATTATTATTTGAATGATTTTTATTCTTTTTCTATTCATGCCAGTGGCACATAGTGGCAAGTATAACAAATAACTGCTCTTCAGTTGGATGGCAAAAGGTACAAGCAACCACCCTCTGTATCCAACTGTTGCCATTCAGTCATGTTTCTCTGCAAATACATCAGCTTTGTATTCAACTAGACAAGCCGAAACTGAGCAAGTGCATTTGGAACTAAACTGAGACTACATCATTATTTCAGTATCCATAATTTTGTGATCTTTGTTTGGTGGTTTACCACGAGGTTGTTTCTGATGCAAAATATGTGCCTTGGCTCTCCAGGTTGGAAAACACTGACCTAATTAGTCTCCTTAATTAAAAAAAAATGTGTGTGTGTGTGTGTGAATAGATATATATGGTGCAGAGGTACCGGGTTCAATCCCAGCTTCGGCCTCCCTGTGTGGAGTTTGCACGTTCTCCCCGGGCCTGCGTGGGTTTTCTCCGGGTACTCTGGTTTTCTCCCACATTCCAAAAACATGCATGGCAGGCTGATTGAACACTCCAAATTGTCCCTAGGTGTGAGTGTGAGTGCGGATGGTTGTTCGTCTCTGTGTCTCTCTGTGCCCTGAGATTGGCTGGCAACCGGTTCAGGGTGTCCCCGCCTACTGCCCGAAGACGGCTGGGATAGGCTCCAGCACCCCCCGCGACCCTTGTGAGGATAAAGCGGATCGGAAAATGAATGAATGAATGAATATATGTATATGTGTGAGCGTGTGTACAGTATGTAGTTTTTTCATGTTGTCATGATGGGGTGTATACTGTAATAAGGGTGTAAAAAATACTTGGCGAGTGCACTAAAGGCGTGTTCACACAGCAACTTTACTCCGGTGTAGCACCGGGTCTGCCCCCTGTAGAGCGTTCTCACGTACAAAGTTATACCGATGTAGCCCCTGAAAATAGCTTAAACCGGAGCAAATTTAACCCTGCTCAGGTGGTGGTTTAAAAATTTACTCCGGAGTAAATGCGAGTTTGCGCGGCAGCACCGATATAAAATGGTACGTGTGAACACTACAGGGGTAGACAGACTCGCTACGCGTGAGAAGAGTTGATTACATACGGGTTTTGCATAACTTGCATCCTGGGTATTTTGCACTTCTTTCCTTTCTCTCTCTCATCCTTTTACAGTGTCTGATAGACCACAGCGTTGATTTGTCTGGAGAAATATAACCATGGTTTTTCGATATGTCACAAACAAGGCAGGGAAAAGGAAGTACACTTTCAGCATGTGCATGTTTTATTTCCGGATTATTATCGTATTGCACGGCCGCAGAAGCTGTGGCCGTGCAATACGCTTCTCTTTAGTAAGCAGCTTTATACGTGTGAACGCGCCACAAAATTTACACTGGTGTAAGATATATCGTAACAAAATACATCGGTGCAGCACTGATGCAAATGTGTGCCGTGTGAACACCCCTTAAGTTTTGTGACCATTGTGGGGTTTTCCTTTTTTCAATGGAAGGGTACGAGTGCATTTACAGTACTTTTATTTTCCTTGAGGTTTTATGCCATCTAATGTGTCAGAGCAAACTTGTCTACTTGTCAAGTTTCACCATCAGCACTTTGAAGTTTACAATCAGTGAGGTCTGTTCTATCACTGCTATTGGCAGGTGAAGGCAAGTGACTTTTCTCTGGTTGCAGTGTTAGTTTCAAAAGTATTTCACTGAATTGTGAACTCAGCAGCTGTTTGGACTGCACAGGCATTTACAGTGCATCAAAGTGTGCTGCATCCATGCAGCGTCCGCTGGCAGCGAGGTGAACAGGAGAGCCGGGCAGCAGGGAGAGCTGGGTCTGAGGAGACCTACTCTGGCTGGGCTCGGGCAGATGTTGGATTAGCCTCCACCTCTTCCACCGTCTCCAGATCTCGTGCTGCACCTGCAAGAGCATCCCCTTAAAATGCTGATGTAAAATATGGCCTCATTAGGAGTGCAGTGGTTCACAAAGCTACACAAACAGCATACATGGGTCAGATGTGAATGTGAATGATTAGTCTGATTTACCTGATCCTATCTAATCCTTTCACGATATGGAGTGAAAATTCACGTATTATATCAGCACACAGCTGTTTGTTTGAATAAAAATAGCAGTAAATAAAGAAAAGCTCATTCTAATAAAGCCTCATATCAGTCGGCTCGGATTTAAAACAGCTTCCATGTTACACTGAAGTGTGTGTGATCAAAGAAAATTAAAGGAAATACAATGCTTGTCCATATTACACAGTTTTTACCTCTCCGTTCATGAATGCGTAGAGGAGAGCGACCACAAACCCCTCAGAAAAAAAAAAAAAAGTACATTAGGTTATGCATTTGTCATTGCAACGAGTTGACATCAGTTCACTTCTTTTACCTGCACGGATGACAGAGCCAGCTCGACAAAGGTCCAGATCTTAAACATTAAGCTGCTGACTTCAACAGGCAAGAAAACAAAGAGGACGTACTGCAGGCCAAACAGGACCACCAGGAAAAATGTGGATTTCATGAATTTCCTGGTCAAAGGAGCAGTCGTTTATTTTCACCTGAGAATGCCACACGTACAATATCGTGTACCTGCAGTCATATAAAAACCAATATCAATTGGTGGGCAGTGCATTTGTGACTTGGGCCATCAGTGGGGAATTAAATGGCCGAAAGCACCCTTTAACCCATTTAATCCCAAATTTTTCCCAGACATTTAAAAGTCAAAATCAGGTGCCATTGGTAGCCCTTTTAAGTTATCAGTAATAACACATTTTAGAGCCCTGTAAATTAAATCATTGTTGTCCTTCACAAATGTGACCGGTGGGATTAAATGGGCTAATCCTACTGCTATTACTGTGCAAATAATAGACAAAAATGCAATATAACATGGTGTAGCATGGCAGAGAGTGAGAGGCATTCACATCTTTGAGATGAATACCATTTTACTAAACCAAGAAATGTACTGTTGTTAAGCCTGTATCTTCCTCCAAACACCAAACCTCTACACTGCAATATGAATTGGAGCAGTTCACAATCAATATTTATCTAACAACATAACAAAAACACATACATTTCAAATAAAATAGATCCTAGTAAGCGGAATTGCGGATTATTTGTCCATCCATCCATTCGTTGTCCGAGCCGTTGATAGGCCAGAGAAAACTTTGTTTTTTTTTTGTTTTTTTTGGGCACGGCTCGTTAACTGTGTAGTCAGACTAAATGAAGCTACTCCACCGTACTTACGATTGGAAGCTGGAGAGCAAAGAGAACACCGATAAAATAAGGACAAGACTGTTGAAGGAAATGAACACAAATTCAATTATGTGGTGAATGTACACTGCAAATCGTCCAGTGTTAAATTCGGGCACAGTGTTAAAAACATTGGCATTAACACCACTCAGTAATAAAATAGCCTGTGTATTCTCGGATGTAACATTGATAGGTTGTGAAGCTGGGGTAACGCCTCACACTCAGACAATTTTCTTCAGCATCATTTTGCCCCTCATTTGCATGATGGAATCAAACAAAGGATGACGTCACATGATGATATTTGATGAAAAAGAATTTGTTTTGGTAACTTCGTTTCGAGTAGAGGTGTCAAATTATCGCGTTAATTGTGAATAATTAATTACAGTCCTATTTAGCGCGTTATGTTTTTAATGACGTTAATCTAAATTTTAATCTCTAACTTTATTGTTTCTGTAGGTGGGTTGCCTTTTTCTAACAGCCCTTTTTATGTGTTGCTTGCTGTGTTCGAGTTGTTGAGGGTGGGGAAACAACTGTCAGTCAGAGCCTGAAGCAGACACTGATTGGCTGTCATTATGTTTGGGCTTGTTTAGCATAAGCCGATTGGCTCCCATTGGAGTTGGGGGGGGGGCAGGTAAACAGCGGTGAGGAGAGGAGAGGTGAAAATGGAGGAGCATGGAGAGTTCTCAGCCCAATGAATGGAAAATGTACATTCCAAAAATGCCCTGACGGCAGCGCTTTTGATAAAGGTAGAGTGTTGTGCCTAATTTGTAAGTAGTTTGCTTACCACCGAAGCAGCTCAAATTTAGTCTCCCACATTAATGCAAAGCACCCAGTCGCGAGCCATAGCAAAGCTCTTGGCCAAATTAAATTCGAGGAGAACACCTGGCGTACGAGGCATGAAGTCAGAATAGTTACCGTATCCTCTGTAGCCTACCAAAAGTGTTTGATGTTTATTTCAGACCTTTATTTTGTCATGATGAGCAGTGTTATTTCTGAAGTGCTAACTTACAGCACTGAGATTCAGGAGCGTCACTAGGTTTGAAGAACAAGGGGGGCTTAGCCCCAAGGGGAACACAGCCCCTGTAGGGGGGTCCGGGGGCATGCCCCCCCGGGAGAAATTTTTTCTACATTCTGTTAAAAATCCATCAATTCCGTGCACTTTGAGAGCAAAATGAAGAGGCTATGAAGAACTACACACATCACATTAGTATCCTCTTTACTATGATGGGGCTTCCTCCCCTGGACTTTAACTGGACTAGATAATAGAAATTATAAAGAGTTCAAAAGTTCAATCTTGGTTGTTCAAGAGAATTAGAAGGATGCCCGATAACATAACCTATATGACAGTAGTCCTATATTCCTCTCTACCAAAATGTATTAACATATGCTAAGCCCCCAGAAGACTATGTATTTTGAGATGTCTGCCGTGATATGCAATTTAAGTTAGTACAATGAGATGCAAAAGCTTCATCACTTTGGAAAAACACAAGTTTGCTGCTCAATACTTAATGTAAGCTCCGATTGCATTTTGGGAACAGCCTTGCAAGTAAAATTAGCCTTGAGATCTGATAGACTCCCCTGTCCAGCAGAGC